AGCTGCAGAGCCCTACAGCCGCAGAAGCTTCGCGAAGCAGCCGGCCACTCCACAGCCTACATAATGCCTAATCCCGCCGGAAACAGCCCCTGTGAACCCCTAGTTACGGGTCTACTTCCGGGGGAGGGGCGGGATTCGTCGATGTTAAGTCACGCGGCCTACACTTCCCAATATGCACCGCGCCTTCGGAGAGTCGTCCCGGGACCTGTAGTCCCAGGCTACGCTGCGAGTGGGTAGGAAAATGCATGCTGGGATGTGTAGTCTGTCCCGTCACAGCCGTTTCCTTCGTTCTGGCGCAATGCATGCTGGGATACTGTCAGTCTGGGCGTTTGTGGGATATAAATTAGCGCTTCGGTACTAGGCCATAGATTTCTGCGGCTGAGAGCCCTGCCAAGAATCCTTCAGGGAAAAACAAGAGTCCTAGGCTGTCATAGACAGTGCAGGCTTTTTGGGCAAGAACAGCTGTTCTTGCACCAATACTTGCAGAGCATCTACACTGCATGTGCATTCTTGCACAAGTAAATTTACAGTAAAGGGTCAGAAAAAGGGCTTCTTGCGCAAGAGTTATTCCTCTCCCCCCAAGGAATAAGCCCTCGTGTGCAAGAGCTCTTCCACAAGGCGGCAGTATAGATGAGCAACAGGGGTTTCTTGTGCAAGAAAGCCCTCTGGCTAAAATAGACATCAGAGCTTTCTTGCGCAAGAGAGCGTCCACGCTGTCATGGACGCTCTTGCGCAAAAGCACGTCGAAGTGTAGATGCACTCTAGTGGAAGACCTTTTGCACAAGAACAAGAACTCTTGCATAAAACAGGTCGGCTACGTCTACACTGGCACCCTTTTCTGGAAATGCTTAAAATGGAACAGTTTTCTGTTACGTATTTCCAGAAAAAGTGCGTCTACATTGGCAGGATGTTTTTCCGGAAAAGCACTTTTTCGGGAAAAGCGTCTGTGGCCAATGTAGACGCGTTTTTCCGGAAAAAAGCCCCGATCGTCATTTTCACGATCAGGGCTTTTTTGCGGAAGAGACTACTGTGCTGTCTACCGTGGCCCTTTTCCGGAACAGTTTTTCCGGAAAAGGACTTTTGCCCGAACGGGAGCAGCATAGTTTTTCCGGAAAAACACTGACAATTTTACAGTAGATCGTCATTGCTTTTCCGGAAAAGCAAGCGGCCAGTGTAGACAGCTGGCAAGTTATTCCGGAAAAGCGGCTGCTTTTCCGGAATAAGTGGCCCAGCGTAGACACAGCCGTCTTGTGCAAGAAGCCTGCAGTGTAGACAGAGCCCAACATTTTTTTTTTTCCACCATGAGGGAAGACTTCAGGCAGCCTAGCTGTAATGATTTCCCTGCAGTAAACAGCTCTTCACCCTGATGTACTAGAGCAAAGCACCACATCTTAGTGCCTGGGATTATACTGGTAAGCATCAAGGACACAAATTTGCTTCACATTTATCTATCAGGTTCTAGATGGTGGTTTGAACTGCCCCTAATGTATTTCACAAGCCGCTAAATTTGCTCAGGCTTTGCTGGCAAAGGCTTACAGGATAAAACAACCATAGAAGAAAAGATCATTTACAGTTTTGTTCAAACACACATCTAAACTAAAGCATAAGAAGCACCATTCTTCAGCAGTTTATCTTCATCTGTGGCAAATTCCTGCAACATGCTCTCTTCTGGCACCTAAAATTAGTATGTATGAAGCCACAAGCAGCAGGTATGAATAACACACCCATATTATACCAAACATGCCTGATTCCTTGTCCACCATCTATCTTAAATAGCAGTGAAGATTTTAAATCCCCCGTTAGGCCCCAGCTTCCATATCTATAAACTGAATTTAAGAGTGCAATCCTTATCTCCACTGTGATAGAGGAATTAGGATCCCCTACTTTCATGGAGCAAGGAAAAACCAAAGTAGTACAACACACCTGGTACTTATGTTGCATAAATTGCAAGGTTTCGTCCCCTTGGAGGCTAGTCTGATTTACCCCAAGAAGAGAGTCACACTTTCAGGCTGGGTCCAACTCAAGTTTATTGGTTGCAACCAAGGTACGGCTAAGGAACTCAATGTTCAAATCAGAGCCGACCCCCAACATCTCATAGGCAGGGGTTTTTATAGGGTTCACATCTTTCCTGGTTTAGGTGCCTTAACATGATAGGTTACTTCATCTTTGACATTTAGCATTCCTATAGGTCAGGTTAATTTTCCAAATGAGGTTAAATACAGTGCCTACTTGCTGACTTTGCAGTTACAGCTGTGTTACATTCATTCACTTTTGCTGAACAATGGCCAAGCCATACTTCCCTTTTTCCTTTCTTGGTTGAGCCGGTCACAAGTTTAAAGGATGTGGAATCTATCCATATCTCTACTTAACAGAAGACTGGTTTCACTTCCCCTCGTCTCCTTATTATAAGTTATTACCTGTGACAGGCCTTGACCTTTGTCATGTCTTACTCCTATACAAATAGCAAATATATCTAAGCATTAGCAATGTATGTATATTGTACGTGCCCCTCATAGGGGAATCAATGGCTCCGGGGGATTTGACTTCCCTTTTACACATCACTTACAGAAAAGAAACATACTTGCACAAAAGTATGCTTTTGAGCCTGCTACTATCAGAAATAAAGCGTACTGTATATAATAATGGATGTTTGTTATTCTTAAAGAGGAATCCAGTGTATGATTGAAAATATTTGTAGTTTTATTCCAAGTTTAGAACTTTAGATGCATAAAGAATACTATCGCACATCACGTGCCTTTACAAGTGGATCTCAAGAGCCAACCATGGAACAGCCCAAACACTTTGCCATAAAGATTCAGAGTTGTGTTACAGTAACAGAGCTAGTAAACTAGGCCCAGATTATGCCCATAAATGTAACTATACAAAAACCTACATTTAAACGCCAATAGCGACTATTGGCAACCCAGCCTATCCCATTCCCGTGATTTATGAAGCTGTGTATAGGCAGCCTGGACTGCAGTAAGCAGTTCAACTACAGGCTGAGTAACTGCAGAATGATAGGAGAATGCACTGTTGGGCATTTAAAGAGAAGGTTCCACTATCGATTAACTAGGTTAAAGTTCAGTGAACAGAACATTCCCCTTGTGGTGGCAGTCTGCTGTCTGCTCCATATTTGTGAGAGTGAAGGGGAAAGTTATATGGCACAGTGCCTAGCCAGTGATTACAAGCAGCCTGACACTGGGGCTGTAAAAATCTCATTTAATCAGTTAACCATTTAAACAGCGGCAGGCAGGTCCGATCAGTCCACCATCCATGGGGGGCCTTGCCAGGTTGAAGCAGCCTCGGCTCGGCCCGCCCCCGGCATCCGCAGTTGTCCCTGCCAGGCTGGAGCTGCCCCCAGCAGTTAACAGTACCCATCATCCATTAAGGGTGATACTTACCGGTTAACTATTCACATCACTATGACAGTGAGGGGCAATGCAAATTAGAGAGGATTTGAAAGAGTTTTTAAAATGGCCAGATTTGAGAGTTATGTATGTTACTCTCAGTGGGGTTCCCCTGTATTCAGTGTGCTTGCCTGTAAACTCCACACATACTCTTCAACACAAGCAATTAAGAGCTTAGGGCTTTTTATTGAGGAAACACAGCAGGGACAAAAAAGAAGTTCCTGGGAGGGTGAAGTGTCTGTGTGTGCATGTGATCTCAGGCATTTGCTTCAGGACACACCTCTGGTGACTGAGTGTGAGGCTGCCCTCAATGACCCCCAGCCTTCCTGTGTTGTAAGGAAGCTATAGAACTCACTGAAGAGGGAATGTGGTTCCCCAAGGGCTGGAAGGGATGCCTGTACATGTAGCGGTCCTGGAAGGGCACCATGCACTTCATCACATCCACCGTAGTCTTCAAGACTCTTTCCTGTTTCTTCACTTCCAGTTCCCTACATACTCTCCTTCCTCAAGCTTCACTCTCATCTCCAACAACAGTGTATTCCCCCATGCACTTAAGCACTCCCTGTCCAAGTAGACAGATTGCATTTGCTTCTTTAACATGTCAGCCCCAGCTGGATAGCTAGCAGAGCATGTGCAACATGCTCACTGCTGTTCCCACTGTAACGAAAAGTGAAGGGCAGACTTTACAGGAGATACATTGTAGAGCGTAAAACCTAATGTCAGAATAAAAGGAAGGTTGATCTAGAGAGACAATAGGCTATGTTTTGTACAAGGCCACAGTTTTAGTGGCCACTATGCAGCAGGTACACCACAGAGTTCTTAGGGGAGCAGCTGGACTCCTTAGTGGCAGGAAAGGTAAGGGACAGGCTGGGGCTTGAGCCAGTGAGAGCGAGGGGGGGCCAGGCATGGTG